CAATTATTTTTGATGGCAAATAGCAATATCAGGTATGAGGGTCCCACCCACTTCTGGGAGGAAGTTGTTTGAGTTGACATATGAGTTTTATGAAGAAGCTACACTGTGCTTCCAGAGTCACCAGAACTTGCAGGTTCTCACTTAGCCTTGCCTGGGGTCTAAAGCTCCTACTGCCTAAGCTTTAGGCATTTCATGATTTACAAAAATGGTTGTGACCATGCCTGACTTTAATGCAGCAGCTGTTTGCCTCTCCTTCCAGACTGGAGATTTCCCAAGGGGCTTGGTGAGAAACTGTTATACCGTAAGAACTACGGTTCCATTTATTTGGTATGCCCAGAATGTCATCTTCCCCTAGGCTGTGGTAGCACCCATAGAGATGGTCTTCGTTTGCATTAATCATTTTCATGCGCTTTGCACTCAGCTACACTGGTATTCAGAGAAAAATGCTGCCATGACAACTGCCACAACAGATGGTATTTGATCAGTCTCTAAGCTACCAGGGAGATATATAGCAGTGCTTCCGAGGTTTGCATATTTTGCGTTATCAGGAGACCCAAGTCCAGCCTTAATCATGATTGAAATGCAAAGTTTTCCATTTGTTTCTTATCTCCTGATTCTCTTTCCAGTTGTTTGGCATTTGTTTTGATTTTTCTAACTCCCTAGCTCTCCTGGGTGGGGAAATACTTCAGGATATGGGAGACAAAGGCTGCAACACACATAGACCATGGAAGTTGCCCTGCAAGTCTAAACTTCAGAGACTGCTGAAAAACTATTCAACTTTGGGATGGCAGTCTCAGCAGAGATTGGCAAAAAGGCTTAATTGCAGCCTCTCTCATGGATGTTCAGGCACTGCACAAGGTGGAGGCCACATTTGGCTCCAAACAAAGGGAATTCTGGGGAGGTGCATCCTGGTCTGCCCCTTTTCTCTACCTCCATCCTTCATCCAGCACCTCTCTGCTCCCGGAGTCTCCAAGCCACGTGGTGGTCCCTCTTCTGGGGAAACCCAGAAGAGGGAATGCTGCAAATTCCAGCAACTCAGTCCCAGAGCTCTTGGACCCATTTCTATGGCAACAACTGCAATAGCTTCTCACCCAGTCCCCAGCCCCCTTCAAAAACACTGGAATGTCAGACTTCATACAGATATTTTTCAGCTCATTTTGGAAAGTAGTTTATATTGGCCACTACGTGCTAATGAACAAGTTTGGTCTTATTTACATACTTTGCTGTTTAAGAGTCTTTTCTTTTACCTGCCTCCCAACTTTAATCGGATCCTTATCTCATGCTGTGTGTCTGGATCACACATGAGTCTTGTTGAAGATGGGCACGAGAACATCATTGTGCTGTAATGACTACTGGGGTGCTGCTGCTGGGGCCGTTCCCTCTTGAGATGTGGTAGGAGTTGGCAATTTCAACAGTACTCGAAGATGGATTGTGTTTACCTGTACAGTATTTAGAAGAAAACCTTAAGGTGAATTTTAATCACAAGAAGGACTGGATCAAAGAAACAATCTCCCTTTCTGATCTCCTTCCAAATGAAGCCAGGAGGTTGGAAGCCACATCTGACCCCATTCTGCTTCCCAGCCTCACTCTCTTCCTGGGGTGCAGATGAAAGAGCGTGGGTCTCGGCCGCCTTGTCAGCAGTGATTTTTAACCTTAATGGAATCTTATTAAACAGTGGATTTGAGACTTGAGGAATGTTTTTTGAACTCCTTCTGTGAACAGAGAAATCATAGTAGAAAGGTAAAATTCAAGGCACTTGATGGACTTACGAATGATCTTTTAAATAATGACCATGTTCTTTGTTTTAACATTTTCTGGAGTGCAGACTAGCCATCTGCTTTTGGCTCCCTGTATTTCTTCTCTTTAGAAGAAAACACTGGTGCCCTTAGGCTTTTTCTGTTCACCTAATAAAGGAAGATCCTAATGCTTCTCTTGTTTATGTGCTCTGATTCTTCCTGAGACAGACAGGAATCAAGGTGTGTGTTGAATGGCTCTGTGGACCCTAGAGGAGGATTATCTAAATGCAGGCTCCTATGTATGATGGGCAGGAGGACTTCCTGGTTTCTCACCCAGCTCTGTCATTTACGTTGACCTGTGTAATCTTGGTCAAAAATCTGACTTCCTTACCTCACTTTCTGTATCACATAATACTTGCTAAAACCAACACCATCCAAAGAATTGAGTGCCATGCTGGCACAGAGCAGACATCTACACAACAATGTTGACTGAATGAATGCTTGAAAGAATCCTGCAACTCAGGGCCTCTCAATCTCAGCACTGTTGACATTTTGGACTGGACAGTTCTTTGTTGTGAGAAGCTGTCCTGTGCACTGTAGTATGTTTAGCAACATCTTGGCCTTTATCCGTAAGATGCTAATAGTACCCTGCCCCCGTTGTGACAGCCCCAAATGCTGCCAGTTGTTGACAAATTGGTCCTTCACCTCCACCCTCCATCCCTAGCCAGTGGAGAGCTACTGATCAAAATTATGAAATTCTGTGAAAAAAATGACAGGACTTTAAAAAGTTAACAAAGAAGAAGTATTCGGGTAACTTATTTATAATTATCCTTTTAATAGCATCGGACATTAAAAGAAAGTCCAGCAGATGGCTGAATTGAAATGTATCAAGGCTAGCCTTGCAAACAGACACTATCATGTACTTTAAATGATGCTGTATGTGTTGAATGTTCCATAAATATAAGTAATGTACTTTATGCTTCTTGGAATGTGAGCTCTGTAGAAATAGTGTTGTAGTAGAACAGTGCTTTTCTTGAATATGTTGGCAGTTGTCTTTATTTTTTTATTCAGTGCCATATTGCTGGACTATTGCTGAAAAAACTTAACCTACCTCGTCAGCCCACCTCCATGACACTTCCAAGGATAAATATCAAGTGTACTATTTTTGAATTTGCAATTAGAGATTCAGGGATGGTGAGCTTTTTCTTTTTCTCACTTTCCATGGGAACAAAATTGCCAAAGCCTCACTTACTAGCCATGTGCAAGATATTATATAAAAGGAGTAGGAGAGAATGATAGGAAAAGGCAAGCAGTAGAAGAGGGATTTTATAATTTTATTATGATTTAAATACTAGTGTCTCTTTTGGGGGGCAACAAATCCTTTTGAGTGGATTTGGTATATTACCACTGTGTACAACAGTAGAAATAAGCACTGATAATTAACATTTTTTCTCAAAAGCAGGATTTCATGGTATGGTGAAGTGGCATTCAGAGGCACAACTGTTATTACACTTACAAATGAGAGCAGATTGCTCCAAGACATCATACTCAGGGTACTCCCAGCCAGTCTTTCCTTTACTTTCCCCTCCCCTATTCCCTCTAAGCCAATAGCACCTGGTTGTCTGCATTTATGTAAATGCAGGCTCCTGTGTATGACAGGGAGGAGGAGCTCCTGATTTCTCACCCAGCTCTGCCATTGACATTGACCTGTGTAATCTTGGTCAGAAATCTGACCTTCTTACCTCACTTTCTCCATCATGTAATACTTGCTAAAACCAACACCATCAAAAGTGGTCATCCCTGGGGCTGGACAGGGGACAGGAAAGATGAAAAGAAAGCTTACCTTTCCTCCATGTATATGAGAAAGGACTTTCTGCAATGATGGCAGGCATAACGCATAGCATCAATATTTAGTTCGCAGCAAGTTGCATTCTGCACCTTTTTCTAGAGATGAGAAAATGTCTTCCAGATGAGGACCCTTGAAGTGTGAGATGGAGGTTGGAAAGGAGATGGGAACCTGTGCTAAAAATGCAAGGATGGAGTAACTTCAAGCTCAGGGTCGAGTAGAGTCTATAATACGGGTGTAGTTTTATTCAGGTGTCCCATAGCTTAATTTAAAGTCCTTGGAAGATGTAAAGACTGGGAGTAGATAAGTCATAAAATGCCAAATGTCAGTAGGCGGGTGGATGTGATCTTCAGGAAGACTGCCTTGGAGCTAGACTCTACTCAAATTAGAGCTCTTAAATGTAGACACTTTACATTTTCTGTGGCTATGAAGGAGCATTGGGAAATTGCTTGGGGTTGAAGAAACAGGAAGGGTCACATGTATACTGTGGAAGGCTATCATTTATTAGTTCAAAATAAATTCCATGGGTTAAGTACTGATTTGAGTTCATAGGAATGTTGATGGAACCTGGGAAGTAATGAGGGGTGGGGTGATGGTGGAGGGGAATGAGTGGGGTCCCCATTGTTAAATGCAAATTGTGTGAAATTTAAAGATCTCTGTACTAAGTCTAAAGAAATTTCTTTTACTTATGGTACCCATTGACATTAATCAAGCCAGAACATTTTCCTTTAAACCAAAAAATAATTAGCCCTGACAACTGAAGTCAAATTAGCCTGTTGGGAATGACCTAATTGTTCTTTTGGGAAGGCTGGACACTGGCTTGCCCTTGGCTGTGGCGTCAGCCCTGGCAAACCTGGGAGATCTCACAGATTCTGGTGGGTCCCTTCTTGTCACAGAAAGCACAAAAGACAGAGGGGTTCAGGAGGTCACAGCCGTCCCCAGTCATCTGCAATGCCTCCCATCTGGAAAATTTTGTGTGTAAATGCTACCCAGATTCCTGCTAAAACTCCCATTCACCGTTTGTACGTTTGACTGCCTGCCTCTTTGGTGGCTGGCAATTTCTCCCAGCTGCTGGTAGATGGGTGTGTCCACTAACCTTTTCCCCACCTCCATTTTTCTGGCAACTGCTCAAGTTTTCAGGATTGCACTGGTGGTGGCAGTGACCAAGATGAGAGCTCCCGTTCCGCCCTGGTTATTTTTGGCAGCTGTGAGCAATGCAAGGCCTCGACTTTTGGCACTATGTGGTTGGGATATTAGGTAAACTTTTCCTGTGCAAGTATAGACAAAGAGTCCTATCTTGCGTTCATTCATCCATCAGCCGTTTTTACAGCATTCTGTTTTCCCATTGTTCCTAATAAGAGATGGCTCTGGAGAGTGTGAACATTTATTAAATGTATATTGTTGTTTTTCCCCCCTAGATTGAAAACATAGATGCCTGCTTGAATTTCCTGGCAGCTAAGGGAATAAACATCCAGGGGCTGTCTGCAGAAGGTGAGTCAGAGCGCTTGTCATGAAGCTGCCTCATAATTAGAAATGCCCACCTGTTACTTATGAATGATATTAACACAATTAAGACAAGGGATGTTGGTGGGCTCCTCTGGTTTTGTTTTCCTTTAGGTTCCTCAATGGTTGCCTAGACTTGAGGATGCCAACGTTATTACTCACCAAAGACTCACTCCAAGAAGGTAGATTCAACCATACCAGCTGCCTCTGCAAGACCCTGAGAGGGTAGTGAAGGGAAAGCTGTCCTATTTGAGAAAGACTTGCTTAAACAATGCTGGTTTGATTCACCTGTCTAGTAATTCAGTTAACTATCAAGTCAGGCCTTATCTATGGGAGAGAGCATGCTTCACCACAGAACATATTTCAGCTGTACAGTTCCCAGGGAGAAATGTTTAATCCTTATCTCTAACTTTTATTAGAGGAAGCAGCACTTTTTCTTGCTCTTATAAAATGCATGTGATTTATTAATGCAACGCTATATTTTTACATCGTGATTAGTTTTTAATTAATTTAAATTTGGTGACTAATTAGCACATTAGTTCACCAGCATTTTGCTATTAAATTAGTTATTGGTCTGGAGATGGCTGGTTTGAATTCTCAGCCACCTCAGACAACATCTCAGCCTGAAACTTTCACGCTCTCTCCTGTTTGTAAATACAAGCAGCTGCCAGCTCAGAGCTGCCATAGGCCCAGGCATCCTCCCAAGCTCATTAGGCTGCACCTGCCTCCAGTTTTCCCAGAACAGGTAAAGCAGTTTGGGCTTCAGACGATAGCGCCTTTCCCTAGTGAGACTGCTTTTTGAAAGGATGCCTGTTAGCATGGACTCTGGTGGTCAGGGTGGGGCAGAGGAGAACAATGAGAAAGGAAACAGCCAAATGGAGCAGGTAAGTTTGCAGGCATGATGGATTCCGTCTGGGACCTGTTCCTTGCCTTTGCTCTGCTACACGGTGAAAGCTTGGTTTTCCTGGCTGCGTTTCCGAGTGGTAGTCTCTTCTGGTATTGGGGGTGGGCAGTATAAATGGCCATGATTAGTGCCTAGTGGGTGTGTTGTGTCTCATTGGGACCGTAGGAATTCCCAATTGATGAATTGTAGGAACTCTGATGTGCTGGACCTGTTCCCAGTCAGGCATGGACACACTGCTTCCAGAGGTCACAGAAGCAGTCGTCGTGTGGTCAGTCCTCATTCCAGAGGATTCCCCAGACCTGGGGTATGGACCCTCATCCATGGGGATAAGATCAGGGCTGGCTGACATGTGGAATATGCTTTGCTGTGGAGCGGGGGTTTGCTGGGAGTAGGCAGATGCAAATTCCCATTCAGAGGAGCACATGATTTCCTCCTGGTACGGAGTTCTTATGCTGGCTGGTAGGTGGCAGGGCATGCTCCTCCTAGTTTCTGGGAGTGATTAAACTCCTGGCACAGGCCTGTGTCCCCCAGCAGAGCACAAGCAGGGACTTTTACAAGGTGTGCTTGGCAGCAAGTGGCAGTAGGGCCTCTTGGGTATGCAGACTCTGCAGGCTTGCTTCATCCTGCCTGGCTGGGAGTGACCCCTGGCCACTCAGCTATCTACCCATTGTCCTGACTTCTGCCTCATTTGTTCTCCCCGTCTGCCCCATCCTCTCTGTACCCCAAGGCATAGAGAATCTATGCAATAAGTATTTGTTGAATGAACAAGTACCAACTATGCTTTGAAGGTTTTTATCTGTATTGGCTTCAGTTCTCACAACTAAAGTTGGAGTTTATGACAGCCTCAGTTTATAGATGAAGAAACTTTGGCTTAAAGAGGTTATGAGTGACATCCCTGAAGCATGTAGCTAGAGAGTGGCAGAGCCAGGATTTGCACCCAGTTCTGTGTGATTTCAGAGCTCATGATCATGGCATCTTCTGGGAGAGCAGGTGGATAAAATCTAGGTATGCCTTGTAAAGGTAAAATAAATGAGGTTTAAACTCTTGGTTACCTGGAACATGGTTTCAGAAGATGTTATAGCTCATGGAGGCACGTCATGCAGAGAGATACTCAGCCGTCTGCCCCTTTTTAACATTGGGATGACTCTTGGAGGTTCTGAGCATGGGAAGAGCATACCGTAGCCAGTGGTATCAAGCCATCATGGTATAACCATGAAGGAGTTTTTTGGTATTTCAGTGACTACCTTAACTGTGCTATGTTGAATCCCCATCCTTCCTGCTGGGTCAAGACTCACTTAATGATATTTTGGCCAGAATGTATAGCTCTTTAGTCATCTTCAAGTTATCACAATTACTTGATGCCCATATTTATGACTCAGTCATGGTCATTTTTAAACTTCAATCTCATTTTAAACTTCAGTCTCAAACGTCAAGGCTCTACTCAAAGCTCTTTACCCTCATTCCTTCCAGTACAAATGGCTTTAGGAGTTTGAAGAGAGATGGCGGCATGCTGACTTGACTTTCTCTCCTTTCCCCTTCCCATGTTCTTGTGCCTGAGCCTCCAGAATTGAGGCAGCACAGAGGAAGCAGAGCTCTGCTGCTGGGGAAGGTGCTGTCCTCAGTATACATCACTGCCACTGTCTCAGCTGGTAGTCTCAGCAGGCCCTTCTGACCAGGACTCACTCCCATGTAGCTCCCAGGGCACTGGTGGTCTTCTGTGAGACTTGGCCAGATCTTTTACCTCAGTCTTATGATCCCTCCAGTACCTACCATAGGACTAGCAGGAACGTGTGGGCTCCATTTTCCACTTGCAGTGGGTGGAATTGCAAGGCCTCCTGTCACCTGGCAGCAGTCCCCCATCAGACAGTCTCTCTCCAGTTCTTTTCCCCACGCAGGTGGCCAAGAGGCAGATCAGCCAAGTCTCTTCTAAGCGGATGTCCAATTTGGGACTGGAATGCCAGGACCCTCCTTCTTGCCAGCACCCCCACTTTGAGCGATCCTCAGAGCTACCACTCCCTTGACTTCAAGGGGCCCAAGGACTCTGCTACCTTGCCTCCTTGGTGAGGGGAGGAAAATATCCTTTCTCCATCATCATCAAACATTGTCTCCCCAAAATGACATTCTGTCATCTAGATCTTCTTATATTTTTTGGAGGTTGGGGAGTGATGAAGGTATTAGTGGTAAAAGTGTGAACTGCTGCATTCCTTTGGGAAAGTGGCCCCAACGTCTGCCACATTCTCAAACTTACAACAAGCAAGGGTACTTAGAGCCTTTAATCCTCAAATTTGGCCTTATTCACAATTTCAGGGTACAGGCAATATCTCATTTGACATCATGTTAAATTACAGGAATAGATTTATTGAGAACTTATCACGTCAGTCGCTGAGCTAAATGCTGTGCATATTTATATCTTATTTAGTATCCCCAGCAACCTTATGGGGTCAGTATTAGTATTATCCCCATCCTACGGATGAGCAAACCAAGGCCCAAAGAGATTAAGCTACACAGTAAAAAAAAAAAAAAAAAAAAAAAAGGAGAGCCACAAGATCAGCAGTGGCTAAACTACCCACATCTGCTGATTCAAAGGCCTGATGTGTGCTAATGCACATTACTGCGTATGTTTCTATCCACCTGCGTAACTACTAGCAAAGCAGTGTGGTGTATTAAAAAGTAATGTGGATTTAATGCTTTTTGTTTTCCTTTTGAAGATGACTGAGTGCCCTGAGGCTCCTTCTCTGATGAAAAAAACATCAGCAGTTGGAAGGCCTCATAGATACATCTCCACCCTTGCCCAGTCTAAAGCTGGGTTTGCATTCAGGAGGGTGTATGCACCTGTCCTCAAAGCATTTCAGCAGCTCAGGCCTGCCTCGACCCGCCTGCTAGAGAGCCACAGGGAGCCTTTGTTCTAGGGCACAGACAGCGGATGCTTGGGGGCAGAGGCTGCAGGCTCAAGTGAGCCCCATGGAGGTGCTGCTGGTTTGGGGAACTTCCCTGGACTAGACCTCCCTGCCCCATCAGTTTTCCTGAAGATTGAACCGATCTATTTGCTCTTGGAGATGTGCCAGAGTCCTGTGAGCTTGGGCCTCCCTTTGCCCTGCGGTGATGTTCAAGATCCTCCACCAACCCTTCCCCAAGACACACCACCTGTCACAGCCATCTGTAAACCTGTCCCTGTGAGGAAGGATGGCCTTTATCTCTGGCCGTTTTGAGAACACCTGGGGTTTGTGCTATCTGGCCCTGAGCCCATCCTCCTGCAATGGAGAAGCGGAGGTTGGGGAGTAAGGCATATTCTATCTAGTTCAGCAAATGTTTCCTGGGCACATCCTGTATGCCAGGCCCAGTGCTAGGCACTGGAGTACATCCGTAATCAAGTCAGTCATATTAAACTAACCTTGATTCCAGTTAATAAAAGAGAGCTGTGTTAGTGGTAAGCACAGGATCCAGTGGTAACCAAAGAAAGGCAAATCAACTTTTCCTGGGGCTCTCAGTGGGGCTACACAGAAGTGGTGATGATTCCCCCCAGATTTCTTGGGATGAATAGGCATTTGCCAGACAGAAAAGGAAGGTGAAAGGAAACCTGAACAGAAGATCAGGCATAGGTAATATTAATATGATGGGGGGAAACCTTGCAGACATTGTATACACAAAAGTAGGAACATCCTTCCAGGTGGAAGGAGTGTATGCTTTGAAGTGAAACCAGTTGCTGATTTGATTAGCTCAGTCCTGGGTTTGCTGCCCTGAGGACCAGAGATCTAGGTACTGAGTTTGCTCCTCCTCTCATCCCAAGCTAGAAAGCAGGAGGTCTTTCTGGACCTGTAGGGTGAAAGCAGCAGGTGGAATGTTTCCATTTCCTCCTACCTATATTACCTGAGTATGGCATTGACTGGGACTTTCAGTTTCTGTTTCTTAGCAGAAGAGGCACCATAGGCTCTGCTCCCACCCTCTCATCCCACTTCTCCTATGGGTAGAGTCATTGGCAGACTTGGAGAGCAGCAAGAACACAGAGGGCTGACGAGTGGAGGGGCAAGTTAAGTGGTGGATACCAGTTATATAATTGGCCCAACTGCAGGGACAATGCTGCAGG